AGCGGAGCCCCTGCTGCTCCGGCTGGGCTCATCCCATCCAGAGAGGCACATGGCTACTCCTCTTCCCACACGCACCGCTTTGGCAACATCAAGCTGACACAGTGCGTGTGGGAACCTTGTCCCTTCCCCAGCCCTTCAGCAGCCATTAGGAAGCTGCTGAGGGGCTGGGGCAGGGACAAGGGCAAGAACGAAAGTAAACTGTGTTTACTTTTGTTTCCCGTCACAGCACCACGAGCCACAGAAAATGCCTTGGCGGGCCGCATGTTGGACAAGCCTGCTTTACCCCAAAGTTTGGTATCATTGGCGAACTTGGCTAAGCCACCCAATGTCCACATCATTAATGAAGAGGTGGAACAAAATAGGTCCAAGGACAGAGCCTTGAGGGACCCCACTGGTCACAGGGCACCATGACGATTGACTTCTGTCAACCACCAGCCTCTGGGTCCGACCATGGAGCCAATTCCCCAGCCAGCGGCTCATGGTGGACCCGAGGCTGCAGTTGGCCAGTTTTGCCAAGAGGTGATCACGGGATACCAGATCGAAGGCTTTTTTGAAGTCAAGATGTATGACATCAATCTCTTCCCCCTTGTCCAGGTGACAGGTCACCTGGTCGTAAAAGGAAATGAGATTGGTCAAGCATGACCTACCTGCAACAAACCTATGCTGGCTGTTCCTCAGGCTGTTGCCATTGGCCAGTACAGAGGTCCTCGACTTCAGGAGGGCTGACTCTGACAAGCTCGGGAGACTTGTCGGTGAGGCCCTAAGGGATCATGACCCCAAAGGGAGGGGAATCCAGGAAGAGTGGTTGCTCCTCAAGGGAGCGATCCTAGATGCACAAGCTAAGGCTATTCCATCTCGGAGGAAAGGCAGCAGGAGGGCACAGCAGCCCCCTTGGCTCTCCAGGGAACTGGCGATCCTCCTGCGTCTAAAAAAATTGTTGGTCGAAGAGAGGAGGAAGAGAAAAATAGGATACCTCTCTACAGTGGAGACTGGTAACCTGCTTGTCTGCTACACAAATGACAGGTTGGCTGTCTTGGGAGGAAGCAACATGAGAGTAGGTAGGGGGTCTAGGATCTTCAGATATCAAGCTCTCTTTACTCCTCCATTTCAGAATCAGGAACAGAAGAAAGAACTACCCAAACTAGAAATCTGGCCTGTGACCAGCCAGTAAGTACGAGTTAATTTTGTGCAATGAAAGTTTACTGATCTGCTTAAGGTTGTTGTTGTTGGGGTTTTTTTTAATTCTGCAATTTCATCTACTTTTCTATGCAATGGGATACTGCCACAAATTAATTAGGGACCTAGATTTATGAGATGTATTTCTGGTCAGAGAGATGCACTGCCAGATCATTCCTGGCTAACCTTAAATCTCTAACACCGCTGTTTTAACAGTCTCAAGTCTTCGCAGCTTCATAGCTGCAACAACTAGCATACCATCTTGAAAAAAAGCTTGTGGCTTAAAAATAAAGCACAAGGTAGTCCACAGCTAGGGGTGCTTGTAGTCAGAACAACTGCTTCTGAACATTGTCAGGCAAAGGTTTAGGCATAACTTCAGAAATTATAGTCAAACTCCTCTGAAACTGTTCAGCCTACACCACTCCAAAAGGAGTTAAAACCAACAAATTCAGCTTCTCATTTTTACATAGAGGGCTTACCTTTCCTTTGCAGATCTGCACCAGACTGAGTGCATTTGAAATTGTGTATCTTCTCATTGTGGAGTCTTTGATGGCTGGGGTGTAAAGGACTTCAAAGTAAATGCCTCGATCTATTGCCTTCACATGAAAGAAAGAAAATAGTCAAAAAATCAAAAGCAGAGAGGTATAACAATCTGACAAGTACTGTCTATTATTCATGTCTTTTCTTTCCAGTTCTACTGTTTTACATATGAATCAAATACAAGGCAAGAAGAAATACGCTGCATTATAAAAAGTGAAAATAAAAAAAACTATGTGTGTACTATATATATATATATGCACTTAAGACCGCCAAGTAATTGAGGCTTACTCAAAAAGATTTCCCCCTTCCCTCGTTAGGCTGCAAATCGTTTCCACAAACTTAGAAATGGAAAAGGCAAAGGCAATCACAGCTGATTAGCAGAAAATCTGTATACCTCCACTCAAGGGAGAAAGAGCAGATGGAATTATTTTCTATCGAGATAAAATTTATTTAGGGCATGTCTACGTCACCTCTGTCATGCCTACGAGCAATGGCCCAAAGCTCGCCTAGTCCACTCATTCCCCTTTCTCCATGCTCCAACTCCCCCAAATGCAGCAAAGTAGCCACCTTTAAGAGTGCTGACCTTGTGCCAATAACCCTGCTTAAGACAGACACTAGGGACACTGTTAAAATTCTCTAACGCAACTTCACTGCCTCATTTGGGCACCTGGCATGTATCGAGTGATCAGCAGGATGTGCTGAGTGAACAAGATGCAGCAGAGGTGGTATACGCATGCCCTTGCTCACCTAGCCTTGGCACCAAGTCTACACATCTGACCAGTTACTGCACCACCTCGTTCAAGGACAGCCATGCACTTCAGAAATGCCAAAGACCCTCCTTCTTCCTTAAAGAGCTTATGAATACAACAGTCAAGTGCTTGCTGATGGAAGAGTTATCCTGGGAGAAAAGGAAGATTAACAAGGTTTCCTTCTCCCCTAACCCCAGAATACTGTACTACTTGGGATCATTTTCATAGAGCAGTTTCACTGTGTAGTTTACCAGCAATGGTATTTAAAAAAAAAAAAACTTACCTGCAGAGCATTCCCATAAAGCATATTATAGTCTCATTTTTGCAGATGGGAAGAGAGATTAACGACCTACTTCAAGCCATATAGTAAATTAGTGGAGCTATAATTGAAACTCAGGTTCCTAGCTCTGTAGTCTGTTCATGATGTAATATTTTCTTACTGCTAACTTTAAAGAAGAAACTACAGTATTGGGAAATAAAGTTATTTATTTGATTGATTCAATTAACTTTCAATCCTGTTTTCTGTACTCATGCAAGCATGAGATTTATAAATACGAAGGGTCATAAACCGAATGCATTTGTATGGTCTATGCTGATTTCACTTACTGAAGCATGTGTATACCCAGGTGGGAATTCAGCATGGGCATTCAAATGCAAAAAACCAGCAGAGAAGATATTTTCCAGGAAAAGAAAAAAACCCACCACTTTGCAGTATCAAGAATAAAAAAAGGGAAAGACAATTGTTTAAACTCAAAATTTAACAGCTAACTCAACAGCAAAAAAAAGTGTCAGATACAAATGTACCATGTTAACAGGCGGTCTTCGGAAGTAGAATGGCAGCTTTTCTGTTACGCTTATGCAGATGAGATCCACATCTAAATTTGTGCAAGCGACCTACAACAAAAAATTAAATACAGACAGTTATAAAGCATCAATAAACATGTTACTAGCCTCATGCAAGCAGGTGTTCTTTGCTTAAAGATATTGCCAATGTTGATTTTAAACGCAAGAGCTGCAACATCTTTCAGGTACCCCAAGATAGCAATAGTGCCATTTTTAATGCATTTTAAACCATTATCCAGACTTGGGAAAGCAATTTTTCCATTAAAATAAATGGACAATTTTAGAGAGGGATCGATCAGTTTGCTCCCAGTTGGTTACAGGACACCAGAGGTAGCATTAGTGAAGTGATCCAACCTCCCCAAGACATGCTGCTAATGAAAAAGAGCTTTTTTAGACAACAATGGTCAAGGAATTCCCTCTACCCAAGCAGCTCTTATATTCCAGAGTGCTGATTTTGTGTTTGAGGTAAAGCAGCATTGCAGATAGTGCCAGTTAAACATGAGGTTTTCAAAGTGACTAATGATTCTGGGCTCCTAAACTGAGACCACTTAAAGGGGCCCAATTTTCTAAGGACCAATACTGCACATTTCCTGAAAAATCCATTTGAGCAGCCAAATAATTTTTAAAAAAGGCCTAAAACTAGTTTTTTCCAAGGCAAGAAGAGAAAGGTGAGCTCTCCAACAAACCTAGTTAACTACACTCAATTTACAGACAGTCCCTTTTACTCAAGACATTAATTGTACGTACTGGTCTTGTGGAAGCTACACCTGCAAAAATGGTAAAGATGGCAAAAATGGGCTGAAACTCTCCCATCCAAGGCCACTTACTACCCATCTGTTCAAGTAGCCAAAATTGGCTGCAGAGATTTTCCCAGTGCAGGAAAATTCTTTGTCATCACAAATCCAGGAAAGGCTGCTCTGCCCCAGCCACCCACCCTTCCTTTCCTCCCATGGAAGGGCAAAAAGGGATAACGGGGTGGGTGACCGTGTGGCAAAACAAAGCTACACTTCATCTTCCACTGATGTAAGGCCCCCCAAGGGCCTCAAGCTAGGATCCCATGGCTCCAAAATAGGAGACTGCAAATGACTCCATGAATTAGTCCACTTGGTTCACATGCAACTGGGAAGGAGCAGAGAATCAGTCCATGGATTGCCACCAGGCAAGTTGTAAAGCAACGCACAGCACGGCTTCCCAGTTAGTGGCTCTTATGGAGTCCACAGACTATTTCAAAGCTCCAAATCCTGTTCTGTTTTCTCTTTTCTTTTTTTTTAAATTAGCAACAATGCCCCCACTCTCTCCATCAGAAACCTCACTAAATTCTTTGGAGGCCATGAATTGCTGCACATAAGGCTGACAGTGACTGCTTCCCCGTGCCTAGGGACCTACCGAATTCACAGCGGAACAGGGCTATGTGGCAGGTCCTTTAATCTTGCAGATTCCCCCGCACATCCCCACCCCCAACCAGGGCAGAGGGGCCCCGGTGAGCCTGTTGTTTGCTGCTGACCAGCCAGGAGGCAAAAAAGGCGCTATATTTAAAACTGCAATTTTCACTTCCCTGCCAATCTGTCAAATCGGCATGGGGTGAGGGGTGCAGAGGAACCTACAATATTAAAACAGTTGCTGCGCAGCCCACTTCCGCTGCAAATTTGGTAGGTCCCTACCCATGCCCCATAACTCTTACTAGCCCTGTGTGAACTTGCTGCTCCAGCACTGAAAAGAGCTCCTCAGGAACCTCTAGAAAAGGGAACCGGCTGGGACCAGCCTCTGAAATCCAGGACTGTCCCGGCTAAAACGGGTCATTTTGTTGGATGTGGTCCATAACACGAGATCCCTCCTCAGCATGCGCACACTGGTCAGAGGTGGGAAGGCTCTAGAATAGCTGAACTTTCCACCTCGATGATGTCAGTGACCCACTTGCACCTGGGGAGCCTCGCAGTAGCGTGTGGTCCAGCGGAGTGCCGTGTGCTGCACCCGAGTGCCGAGAGCACAAGAGTAGGGTGTCGTGTGCACGAGTGTGATTGGTGAGAAGAACGACTGGCACATGGCGTGATTTTGGTGAGTATTTAAGGAATCCTAAGGTGTGATTCCGCACGCAAATGGCATATGGATGCTTGAGAGTACATGAGGTTTGAATGGTGCACGAGTTTACTTGGTTGCAGATCATACCTGCGTGTCTGAGGCATATGAGCAGTGACTGTAGCAGTGAGAGAGAGGTGACCTATTGCACTGGATTATAATTGGATACTTACCCGTAAAAGCGTTACTGGAGCAGGACCTAGATCATCCATTGGACTGGTAATTATCACTCTTCCCTCAATCTCGGTCCAAGACTCTCCGAGAGAAAGGACTGAGGGCCTGACTGTCACGGGAGCTCGGTGAGCCTGTGAAGGCCCCGATGCTGCCCTTCATTGGCCCCTGGCAGGTCTGGTTATGGTTCACTTGCAGTTAGCCAGTGTATATAGTTCATGCTTGATGTTATGTACATTTCCTACTGTTAATCTTGTTTTTGTTGTGATCGTGACTTTATAATATACTTTTGAACTTTATTGGAGCCTCTGTGTATTTATAGGGTATGCGAGGGTGAGCTGTATGTGTATCCCTGACCCGCAAATCCACCCCTAATAGAGACAACACACAAAAGGCCCTGCTGTCTGAGGAGGCCTCTCCGCCCCTTAGATTTCTCAGAGGTGGTCAGCGTCCAGGACACCAGGCAGTGTCCACCTTTCAATATGGTCTCCCTACATAAACAAGACGACTACCAGACACGATGAGGAGGACTACTGGCGTTTCCAAGTTTAGGCTCTATCTGGCCTGTTCTTGAAACAAAGTTTAAACAAAAACAGCTTAACTGTAGTTCTAGCTTAGCCAGTTTCCAATTGGTCAGTCAAATGACTACCAACTCATTTAGCTGAAATATTGTCTTAGCTGAGTTTAAATACAGCTCCTAACCTTGATTATAGCATGGACATTTAAGTTTCCTATATCCATGGAACAATACTATCCAGTGGGAGATGGCAACTGATGTTAGATCTACAGGGAATTGAAATGATCACCTGGGCTCTCTTTAGCTACTTTGAAAACGTCATTTGATACTAACACGCCAGCTAATAAGCTGTCATCAGGATACTGGCAAAGATTTAATTTGTAAATGCTAACACTGACAAATGCATCCCGCAAAGCAGGCTATGAATCATGCCCTACATGAGATATTAGTAAGGGTGCAGGAAACGTAGAGAGAAAGCCTCAAACAAATGAAAACAGAAGTCAGAGTACAAGTCATGTTGTGGGATGGGGGTGGGAAACAGACTTTCCACTCATACTTCTTCAGATTTTCTAGGTATTTTATTTGATGAATTTGCTACAAATACCCAAATTCCAAGACATAAATCAGGATACAAGGATGTGACATAAGAAGCCAAAAAGAAAAGAGAACTACAAGGTAGTGGAGAGTTTCTCCTTGAATGAAGAAGTTCTAAGCTGCAGTGAAATGTTGGAATATCAAATGAGATTTGCTCTACTGCAGTTATCACTTCACCTTTGGTTGCCAAGCATGTTATACAGTCTGGGTGCTCAGTTTGCTTAAAGAATTTCAAGTACAACAATTTAGTGCAGAAGAAAAAGCACCAACTAGGAGGGCTGAGAGAAATTTTGCCCAGGGTTTCAGTTCAAAGCCGTTTCAATGCATTTCAAGTTCGATACACCAAAACTGAAATGAAACAAAAGCCTTCGAAATAGCTTTGAAACGAAACAAGGGAACTAGAAACGTTTCGAGTTTCAAAGCCAGGCCTACTGGCTTAAGCGCTGGTCCCAGCTAGCAGCACCTGCCTCCCGTTATCCGGCAGGCAGATTGGGGGCTCACCTGCACCCCTGGGAGGACTGTGTGGGCTGTGCCAGACTCTTCCCGGGGGTGAGGGCCCCTGATCTGCCTGCCAGATGACAGACTGGTGCTGGGCAGATTGGTGCTGCTGCTGGCCCCAGGTGGCAGCACCTGCCTCCTGTCATCCGGCAGGCAGATTGGAGGCCCGCACCCCTGGGAGGACTCCAGCACAGCTCCCACAGCCCTCCCAGGGGTGCAGACAGACCCCTGATCTGCCTGCCTGCTACCTTTTATGATTCCCCATTATAACGTATGGGCAAAACAGCGTCAAAACAGGGAAACAGTGCCAATGAAACAGAACAGTGTTTTCGAAATGACACTGTTCTGTCGAAACAGAAGTCGAAGCAGAACGATGCTGTTTCACACAGCCCTACCAACTAGTCACAAAGCACTGATCGCATTCTGCACTCTCAAGAGAGGTAGCAGTGCCATCTGGTGGAAAACATAGGAGACAATTGTAACATGCATAGGTTAAAGCTCTTGAAGTTCCTGAAGCCAAAAAACTGTGGCAGATGCATCTGGCAAAGTAGGCTATCACCTACAAAAGCTTATAGCTCTCTGAACCAGATGGTTTCTGAGGTGCTCCCTGCCTGGCTGGCAGATGTGTGCACGACTGATGAAATAGACAGGATTTCATTAAGTCTAAAAGCGATACTTCAGAGGATGATTTTGTAGGGGTTAGTAAAGTGCTAACTGCCTGCGATTGTAGGACAGTCAGGGCTCTAAAAATGAAGCACTGCTCCAATTTTTTTGCACAACTGTCATTTAATCATTTGAATAATAATAATACAAGATAATCTGCAATTATTTAGGCACCCGCAGCAACAGTTCTGATAGAAAGATAGTTTTTTTGAGAATTGTGGCATGTCTTTCAATGAGACACTAACATTAGGCATGTTGTGCATGGAGTCCATTAGGCTATGTTAAAAGTGTCTGCCTCCTGGATGTGTTTTGAAGAATTTTTGCTGTTGTTGAATTTAAAATATTTCCTCTCAAACGTGGCAAGGAAACTGATGCTCCAAGGAGAACAAACTACAACCCCAGTTTTGGTGGATGGAGCTGTTTAGCTAGTTTTTAATTTACAGTATGTAGTAAATGTTAAATGTGAAGTTCATCTGTGAGGCAAGATCACTCTTGAAGAACTTCAGGCCCAAAGAAGAATTTTTCTGGAAGCTATTATAAAAAGCAGGGGGCTTAACCTGAGATCCCATTCATAACAGCACCTACCATGTTAGTTCTGTGTGATCTCATCTGCCACAATAAGCAATGTAGGTCTCAACACAGAAAATGGGAAGCCTGGAGAGTTATAACTTTTTTTTTTTTTTTTAAAGATATACAGAAGTGTCTCTATATCTTAATCATAAGAGTCCTTTCTGCCAAGCACCCATTTGCTGGATGAGCAATGGGATCCCTTCTCCAGATAAAAAAAAGTTGCAACTACAGAAGCCGAGGTGTGCTCTTGCACAGGATGGGTTGCCTCCTTCCTAGCATATTGTAAGCCAAGAAGATAGACTAAAATCTTAATACCAGTTTCACAGAGTTCCCAATGCTTATTGAAAGGTTCCTGAGAGCTGCCTCAGAAAATTTCCTTGGCATCTATTTGCCTCTTTCAAACTCTAGAAAAGAAGCTGGAAGACGCAGCAAAGCAGGTCAATAATCTTGTTAAAAGGACATTCAAGTAAAGAAATCAATCAGTTCTATTAACCTACAGTTGTTCCTGGTAACAATTAAGTTTGCTATGACTGGAAGAACAGGACACACGCAACTTCTTATCCAGTTTGTCCACTTCATATTGCTAATTTGGACCTTCTAATTCCGTTAATTTCTTTTTGGTGCTTTTGTGATTCTCATAAGGAAGAAAACAAGGGTAAGAGGTTAGGAGAATATATATTTGTTAAAACAGGCTATGGTGGGAGGTATTAAGGGCTGTTGTAGTTCCTGAAAAGAGTTTAATTTAAACTCAAATTTCAAAGTGAACAGAGTGCCTTTGAAAATAAATTCTGGTACTCCTACAAAGAGAATCAAGTTTGCCATTTGTTAGTTTGTTGCCTTCTGCATTAAAGATCAATCTGTTCACTGCCAAGAAGGCCAACAAAAAGGATGCTAGCACAAAATGGTTGCAATTGGGCAGCTACTGTAGAGGAACGATAAGTTTCCCACATTGCAGCCACGTGACAACTGTTTTTGCAAGAAACAGATTTCTAACCAATACTGCTTTTATTCGATTCTTACTTCGATTGGTGCACCCACCACTATCTGCCTGTGTATTCCAAGTCAATTTAAATCCACGTGACAGGGACAGCAGGATGCAGTCAATGTTTACTACTGAACCTCATGTAGGATCTCCATCCTTTCCAGAAACCCCACAAAGTTCAAAACTCTTCCAAAGCCTAGTAGCTCATTGGACTAGCATGGTTAAGTTACACCAGTTTCTATACCCAATGACATATATGGAAGCAATGTTCCCCTGCCCGTTTACAGGTGAGGGGCGTGGCCTTCAGCATGAGGCCAGAGTAAGGCTTAAACTCACAAGAATGAATTTAACACTTAATTCTTTTGCTACTCTACCCATATCATCCTACAGCAGAAGCGGTTCAAAAATAGGTAAGTTTTGGCAGTGGAAAGCAGAAAAAGTTAAGATGCAATATAGTATCCAATATGATCATTATTAATTGGCTGAAGTATTAGCGCATATTAAATAACAACATCAGTAAAACATTTAAAGACATGATCCCCAAAAAGAATTGCTGGCTGAATAGCTCTGAAAAGATATGGTGCTGCAAAGAAAAAAATATATATATAAATTGTATATTAATTCATTTCCCTAATAAGAAAGGAGATTCTCCTCTGTTGAGTGCTAAAACCAAGTCAAGCAGGCTTGTGTTCAAACACAATGATCACTTTCTGCTGTTGTCTGTTTGCAAGAATGACAATTCATTTTTGTTTAGACATGGATAAAAGTATCTGCATTGTTATTCTTGGCAATCAAAGCAGGTCTCTTCTTGCTTAAATTGAATTGCAGGGATAGCATTTGTATTCACAAAAAATACAATTTTCCTTTAATTTTTTACCTCTGCTTACTTCAATTTCATACAACTTAAGTCCTTGGCAGCAAAAGTAAAACATAGAAATGGTAAAATTATGTAAGGTAGTCCCTGACTTCACAACTGCTGACCTTTCTGTGCTTATATTTGGCAAGAACAGTCACACACTGCCAAGAGGCATTTACAAATATGATAAGAACATTCTCCCATGTTTGGAGAAGGTCAAGACTTCCAGAGCAAATGTTTTCCCCTCCTCCACCCACTTCTCTTAAAAAAAAAAAAAAAACAAAACCCAAGAAAGCTGCTTTTTCTCACTGGATTTTCAGTAAGAGCCACGAGTTTTGTGGGTGTTAAATCAACGAGAGAGACAGCGAGAATAACCCATAAAATCCCACTGCAGACATCTTACCTTCCATCAGTCAACACAGCCCCAATCAGTCCTGAGTTCTGAAACAATTGCTGCTCATTGAAAAAGCAAACATATGCTGGGGAAGATGTTAGAATTTGGAAAGTTCCTGTTTGATGCAGGCAGACAAGGTTCCTTGGGTGAATTTGATATCTTTTATTAGACCAACCCAAATGGTTGGAGAATAGTTATTAAGCAAGCTTTCAGGTTCAAAAACCCTTCGTCAGGCTAAGGAAGCTTCAGCAGTTGGTGCGTGCTCTTCCTGGATGGAATGAAAAAAGTCTATTCTCCAACCATTTGGGTTGGTCTAATAAAAGATATCAAATTCACCCAAGGAAACTTGTCAAACTTTGATGCATGCATTCTCACATCCTAGTTTATTTTAACAATTACCATCTTGCTGACAAAGCAGGGGTTGTAATAGGCCACCACTGTTGAAAACGCAAGCTGCAATAGTCTAAAGTAAAGAGCCCGAGCTCTCTGGCTACTCTGATGGACAAGCTCATACCTACAGCTGTCCAATGTTCATTGCAATTGTTTTTCAGGCTGTTTCATGAGCACACACAGAGGAGACTAGAAAAGATAAAGTGTGCGGATGAAGTATATTACATTTCTGGAGGTGCAGCTGTAAGATCCAGGAATGCTGATGGCTTGGTTGTGGGGTGTAGTAATAGTGGGGGTGGTGGAGATGTATTGGCAGGTTTTGCATTTCTTGTCATGGCACGGTCTGGATCCTTTTGGTGTGTTCTGGGCTTGAGGAAGTTTGCTTCTGGTGATGAGGTTGGCGAGGTTCGGTGCTTGT